CCCCATTGTGGCTCCTCCCTATCCCAGGGGTCATCATTTGAACAAACTTGAATCTACACTACCTGAGGATGCTTCCATATCAATATGACTAAAGAAGAAATTTTTTTCTATATGTTCCTATGTAAAACTTTCGATCCCCTTATCAGGCCCAACCCTACCCTCGGGGGTCATCATTTGAACAAAATTGAATTTATACTACCTGAGGATGCCTCCATATCAAAATGACTAAACATGATTTTCAGTTCTTGAGAAGAAGATATTTTCCTATATGTTCCTATGTAAAATTTTCGATCCCCCATTATGGCCAATCCCTATCCCCTGGGGTCATCATTTTAACAAACTTGAATCTACACTACCTGAGGAAGCTTCCATATCAAAATGACTAATCATGGCTTTGCAGTTCTTCATCAGAACATATCTTCCTATATATTTCTATTTCAGACTTTTATCCTCCATTGTGGCCCCACCCTACCCCCGGGGGTTATGATTTGAACAAACTTGAATCTACACTACCTGAGGATGCTTCCACATAAATATGATCAATCAGGGCTTTGCTGTTCCTGAGAAGAAGATATTTAAAGATTTTTCCTATATATTTCTATGTAAAACTTTGATCCTCCATTGTGGCCCCGCCCTACCCCCGGGGGGTCATGATTTGAACAAACTTGAATCTACACTACCTGAGAATGCTTTCATATAAATATGACCAATTAGGGCTTTGCTGTTATTGAGAAGAAGATTTTTAAAGATTTTTCCTATATATTTCTATGTAAAACTTTGATCCTCCATTGTGGCCCCGCCTTACCCCCAGGGGTCATGATTTGGATAAATTTGAATCTACACTACCTGAGGATGCTACCACATAAATATGACCAATTAGGGCTTTGCTGTTATTGAGAAGAAGATTTTTAAAGGTTTTTCCTATATATTTCTATGTAAAACTTTGATCCTCCACTGTGGCCCCGCCCTACCCCCATGGGACATGATTTGAACAAACTTGAATCTACACTACCTGAGGATACTTCCACATAAATATGATCAATCAGGGCTTTGCTGTTCCTGAGAAGAAGATTTTTAAAGATTTTTCCTATATATTTCTATGTAAAACTTTGATCCTCCATTGTGGCCCCGCCCTACCCCCGGGGGTCATGATTTTGACAAATTTGAATCTACACTACCTGAGGATGCTGCCACATAAATATGACCAATTAGGGCTTTGCTGTTATTGAGAAGAAGATTTTTTAAAGGTTTTTCCTATATATTTCTATCTAAAACTTTGATCCTCCATTGTGGCCCTGCCCTACCCCCGGGGGTCATGATTTGAACAAACTTGAATCTACACTACCTGAGGATGCTTCCATATAAATATGACTCATCATGGCTTTGCTGTTATTGAGAAGAAGATTTTTAAAGATTTTTCCTATATATTTCTATCTAAAACTTTGATCCTCCATTGTGGCCCCGCCCTACCCCCATGGGACATGATTTGAACAAACTTGAATCTACACTACCTGAGGATACTTCCACATAAATATGATCAATCAGGGCTTTGCTGTTCCTGAGAAGAAGATTTTTAAAGATTTTTCCTATATATTTCTATGTAAAACTTTGATCCTCCATTGTGGCCCCGCCCTACACCCCGGGGGGTCATGATTTGAACAAACTTGAATCTACACTACCTGAGGATGCTTTCACATAAATATGACCAATTAGGGCTTTGCTGTTATTGAGAAGAAGATTTTTAAAGATTTTTCCTATATATTTCTATGTAAAACTTTGATCCTCCATTGTGGCCCCGCCCTACCCCCAGGGGTCATGATTTTGACAAATTTGAATCTACACTACCTGAGGATGCTGCCACATAAATATGACCAATTAGGGCTTTGCTGTTATTGAGAAGAAGATTTTTTAAAGGTTTTTCCTATATATTTCTATCTAAAACTTTGATCCTCCATTGTGGCCCTGCCCTACCCCCGGGGGTCATGATTTGAACAAACTTGAATCTACACTACCTGAGGATGCTTCCATATAAATATGACTCATCATGGCTTTGCTGTTATTGAGAAGAAGATTTTTAAAGATTTTTCCTATATATTTCTATGTAAAACTTTGATCCTCCATTGTGGCCCCGCCCTACCCCCGGGGGTCATGATTTGAACAAACTTGAATCTACACTACCTGAGGATGCTTCCATATAAATATGACTCATCATGGCTTTGCTGTTCTTGAGAAGAAGATTTTTAAAGGTTTTTCCTATATATTTCTATGTAAAACTTTGATCCTCCACTGTGGCCCCGCCCTACCCCCAGGGGTCATGATTTGAACAAAATTGAATCTACACTACCTGAGGATGCTTCCACATGAGTTTCATCTTCCCTGGCTTTGTGGTTCTTGAGAAGAAGATTTTTAAAAGATGCTACTAATTTTTCACTAATTCTTCATTATCTCCCCATGAAAGAGGGCGTGGCCCTTCATTTGAACAAACTTGAATCCCCTTCACCCAAGGATACTTTGTGGCAAGTTTGGTTGAAATTGGCCCAGTGGTTCTTGAGAAGAAGTCGAAAATGTGAAAAGTTTACAGACGGACGGACGGACAGACAGACAGACGGACTACAGACAAAATGTGATCAGAAAAGCTCACTTGAGCCTTCGGCTCAGGTGAGCTAATAAAACCATTTCTTAAATTTTCAATCGTACCATTCTCCGCCATATTGGATTCAGTGTACACCTTTCAACACATGCTCTAAATTTGGTGTAAGATAGTGTACACCGAGTGTACACCAAAAGTCTACACTCATGCACTTGATTAACAGATTAAGAAAGGTGTACACGGTGTAAGTAAATCAAGCGCGCCCATTATTTTATTCAGGTTTTTGACAATTTTCTTAGCTGAATTCTTGCTTATTTTCACAGCTTGGTGGATTTTAGATTGATTGACAAGTCTGTTGTTTTACGCCCCAGAAGAGGATGAACATTTAAATGTGGCCCACCGTCACGGTAGCTCAGTCGGTATCTAGAGTTCTCGCTCCATGATCGGAAGGTCGTGTGTACGAATCACGGTCGCGACTGACCTAAGTCGATAAAAAATGGGTAGCATCTGTTCCTTCGCCAAGCGCTCGGCCTTTCGGACGAGACCTTAAAAACCGAGGCCCCGTCTCACGGTAGGCGTTGGCACGATAAAGAACCCTCACTGCTCAATGGCCCCAAGTGCCGAGTAAAGGTCTAAATTTTAAGCCCGTCACCGGTATATGGTGTCGTCTCTATATGATTGAAAACTCGAGAACGGGACGTAAAACAACATTCAATCAATGAGTCAATTTAAATGTGGCCCAAAGTCTATTATATTGTATTTTATTGTATAGTCTATAAATAGTCCCTATATAATCTATACAAACGCAAACAGTTCATAATACTACATATTCACTGGATTTGAAGCCGTATTCACCGGAGGGTCAGTGCGCGTGCAGCGGCATTGTGACGTCACAATCAATACCTAAAACAACGTTGAAAACAATGGTTGTAACGGCAGGAGCCAGCTGTATATGCTGTATATCTGAGCAGAAAACTTTTAGGCAAATTTCTAGTAGGATTATTTTCCAAAGATTTCGATGTCTTACACACAGCAAAAAGGAAAACACGGAAGTTATAAGTTATTATCTGGATATTTTTATTTTTTTTTTATTTTTCTACGTATGGAGTCGTCATGCAGCCTTCAATGTCTTATTCATTCAAATCCTGACTATATAATAAAACAATTATGGACTCTTTTAGTGGTGAATATAGTTTGTTATTCACCAGAAAAATATCAATATTGACCTCGGCTTCGCCTCGCTCAATATTGATATTTTTCAGGTGAATAACAAACCATATTCACCATCGAAAGAGTCCATAATTGTATAATATTATATTATATTGTTGGTATATTGTATTTTTTCAAAAAGGGCTAGATGTGCAACAATTTTAAATTAAACAGTTCCACCTAAAAATGTGACTTTTATAGCAATAAACTATTTAGTAGAGAAAAAAACACAGTCGTTTTCCTATTATAATATTTAATGCATTTTCCTACATTTTTACAAACAGAGCTCTTTCTCCAAGAGGTTTATAGTCTTCAAATGACCATAACCACCCAATTCTTTTAATAATTTGTCTGTTGTCATTTAAATAACATACTGGAAAAAAAAAGAAAAAAATATACAGTATTTATCGTGACAAACAATCCATACACACACATAATGATGAAATTGTAAGATTCATATTTTTTGTAATTCTATAACATTCTGTGTACAAAGTATTAAATTGTACAAATTTGAAGACAAATGTTATTTGGGAATAGTAACTTTTTATGTAATATTGTAAAGTATTACATGTGGACATTTTGAAACAAAATGAAATTGATCTTCTTTGTTCCCTAATTCACAAAAATTACATATTCTATTAGTTCTTACAATTTTGTTAGTAATATCTTCCCTGTTCAATCATTAAGTTATGTGCAGATAGTCTTAATCTGGTACTTGGTACTCTATATTTTAAATGTATTGATTTTTTTAAATTTGCAAACAAAGATGAAAACAATTTTGTACAAAATGTGTCCAACTTTCCTTTACATGTAGAATATATTGTAGTAGTGGTGTTTCGTGCAGAATTATGATATTTTTTTCTTTCATTGTAGTGCATCTAACATTAACCTTCTAACATTAACCTTCAACATGTGGTTTATACATGTACATAATATTTTATTGTTACATTTCTTATTCACTAAATCACGAGGTACTAAAACAGATGTCAGCTACTGAAACCTGGTACACATGCTTGATATATACAGGTTACAGAAAACTGATTCTTTTATTCTTGATTCTATGTGCTGTTAACAACAGTTGTTTCCTTAGTTTATAGTAATTCAGTTATCTCAAATATCCACAGAGCTGTCAACACTACTGGCACAGTTGTTCAACATTTACAGCAATAGCCATTCATCAACAACATCTCAATACATCCAAAGCCAATCATCGTTTTCTTTTGTGGCGCCACCTGTAGACAGGAGCTGATGTTTTTGTCTCCTCTTGCAATTTTGTACGCTTTTCTTTCTTATCCTGAAATAAACAAATCTACAATTATATAAACTTTCCTAAGATTGCAATGGCTTGAAATTAACACATGCCTGTCAATCTGTGACTGAATAAAATCCTTGTGGACTGACAGACATTTACTCAAGTCAGACCGACTGGACTGGTAAATTTTTGAAAACTTCATTTTGGAAAACTCCCTTGTTTAATCTTAATCACACATTTTGCACTCACCTGCAGATGTGAGGGGAAGCAGATGAAAGGGTACAGATTTCGCATGTCTTACGATATTGTTCAACTAATCAAGGTATATAGAGTAAAAATACTGATGAATGAGAAGAGAATAAAAATCATGGTCAAGAAAATAAAATGAGGCCAATAGGCCACAATGCTCACTTGAGTAATTTTAGCCTTGCTCTTCACCAAATTTTTAAGAGATTTTTTTATATATAAAAAATAATGACCCCATATTATGGTCCAACCCTAAATCTAAGGGATCTCTCATTCAACACAATACCATGGGAATTCTTCTGTATTAAAATGGCAAATATTGCCTTGTAGATTTTTTAAAAAAGGAAAATTCTTTTCATGTATACATGCATTATGTAATACATGTATTTAATCCAGCTGAGAAAATTTTCAAGAATGATTTCTTATAAATCCAACATAAAACTTCCCCTGTTGCGGCTCTACCATATCCCTGGGGCCAAAATTTGAACAATTTAGAATCAACAATATAATTATTGGACAGCTCTCAACTTTTCTGATTTTAAAAACTTTTCCTTAATTATTTCAATGTAAAACTTGATCCCCTATTGTGGCCCTACCCTACCCCAGGGAGGCTAAGATTAAACAAAAAAAAAAAAGATTCTATATATTACATAAGGAAGCTTTCAAATAAGTTTCATCTTTTCTGGACCAGTGGTTCATGAGAATACATTTCAATGTAAAATTTTGATCCCCTATTGTGGCCCTGTCCTACCCCAAGGGGCTTTGATTTGAGTAATTTAGAATCTACACTACTTCATGAAGCTTTCATATCAATTTTATCTTTTCTGTCCCATAGGTTCTTGAGAAGGAGATTTTTTAATAACTCATCCTATTTTTGCCTTTTCTTAATTATCCCACCCTTGGAGGGGCTTGGCCATTCATTTGAAGAATTTAGAATCTCATTAACCCAAGTATGCTTTGTGCAAACTTTGGCAAATAAGAATGGCCCAATGGTTTTTTTGAGAATAAGATGAAAATTTTAAATGTTAACAGAAGGATGTATGGACACTGGACAGACAGCTAGATGCATATATCGACACCAGACATACATTTTTTTCTGTGCTCCACATTCGTTGAATAACGCAAAATATGCTTCATAATTTCTAGAGAACTTTGGATTGGTAAAAATATTTTTTCTTCAGTTGATTGAATGAAATTATATCCTACATGTATCAGTTGGGCTGGATTGGTGACAAAAAAAAAAAATAGTTTCGTGTTGCAATTGATGATTTGAAAACAATTCCTTATCAATACTGGTAAACTGATGTTTGAAGTAAGTGATGTAGTTTTTAACTGCAAAAAAGAAATTAAAACAGTAATTATTTAGTAGGTTCACCATTAAATGTTTCTTCATTTCCATCTTCTGTTGTATTACATGGAGTTCTTTTTCTCTCTCTATTCGTTTGACCAGCTCTTGATATCTCTGCTGTTTTTGCTTTGATACTGCCTAAAACAACAATACATGTAAACACATGAATAAACAATACATGTAAATAAACAACACAGGTAAATAAATAATACTTGTAGATAAATTAACACATCTCACATCTTTACACTCTGTGGTTACTTTTTGGTACAAAATTTCTCTTCTTTATGAAATAAGAGATCTGGATGTACCTGAACGTAATTAAGCTCCAATTAAATTTTCTGCATTCATAATTTTCCTTCACATTTTCAGTCTTCTTACTTGTTAAAATATATACCATGTAACAGAATTTTGTTGTGAACATTCTCTGACTCTGCATTGCTAATGGCCTGATTGAATATAAGCCCCCCCCCCATCACTGACCTTCAGATCCTCCTCATTTAAGTTTCCCCGTATCTCCATCTTCTTTAGACTGTCCAGTGTTGGTCTGTTATATCTCCTATTGACCAGGGAAGGGTGAGTCCCAAAGTATTTGGCTGCATCAAATTCTTTCACTGTTCAAATGGAAATAGAAGTGACAAAGTCCAAGTCCTTTTACATCTCTTAATTTTTTTTCTGACATATTTTGAAATAAAAAAATTTATAAAAAAATTTTTTATTTGTATATGCATCATTTTATCTGTAAATTGCTTATTCATTTGAACAAGGCTTTTCGATTGTAAGTACATGTACAATAGTCTGTTATTTTTTTTCATGGTTAAATTGTCCTAGCTTAAATGGGCATTTATGTTTTTAAAGTAATTATATAGGATATTGCATCTTGCTGATTTATTATCCCACAATTTTACATTAACAACTTTTTATTTACAGTAAGTTCAGAGAATGGTAACCCTAATTAATATTCAAACAGTTATGTTAAAAAATACATAAATAATACCTTCTTTGTCTGTATCTACAAAAACTGTGTGTTTATTTTTAGGTGCTGTGTCATTGTCCATCAAATGGAGATTGGACTGCAATCGTTCAATTTTCTGGCAACAGAAAATAATAGAAAATGTAAATTTATATTTTCTTGCATGGTCCCAATTTATATCAAATGCAAATACTGGTTTAACATCCTCAGCAAAATTTAAGATTAGGATGGTAATGTCATCTCTAGAGTAATTTCCTCAAAAAGAACAAACCTCTCTCTGAGCATTTTGAAACATAAAAATCAGATTTGGAACTTCTCAAATCATTTTCACATTACTACAGAAAACTCTCTTTTTTAAAAAAATTATTGGGTTTAAAATCAATCATATCTGACATATATTTAAAAAAAAATCCAGGAAGACTTCAAAACAACAACAACAGACCCCCCCCCCCCCCCCAAAAAAATGAAATTATAAAATACAAATTTGAAAAATTCTACAGAACTTCATTTTCATCCCTACTTTTAAGGTCTGATGACACATTGCTCGAATATCAGTTTTGAATCTCTTCATAAAATACAACAAATTAAATATACTTACCATTATCTTGTGATTTCAAAACTGTTTTCAAAATGTCTAAGTAGATAAAGACACCAACAAAATTTGTGATATTTGCAATGCTAGTGATTTCCAATAGGATCATATACTAAGTGGCATCCTCTGGTATCTTGCACAAATGCCTGGTAAGGTACCTAATTTTTTGCGAGGAAACTTGTTAAAATAGCAATACTTCATGGAAAATTCTTGGAAAAAATTATATATTATTGAGGAACGTGTCATCTGACCTTAAGGTTAATTGATCCTTTGATACGAGAGATAACTCTCTCTAGGATATATTTGACTATATTTTTCAAGTAAAAAAGGCCATTTCTGTTAAATTTTGCCCAGGTATGCTGAAATTGTGTCTATCTTTTAGTTATTTAAAAGTTATAGATTTCCAGTGGAAAATCATAAGTGTTCAAGCAATGTTACACAAGTAAACAGATTATTAATGAACCTTAAATTCATTAAGATCATCCTTCCTAAAATAATTAACATACTGTGCAAATATGAAAAGGTTCAAAGAATATTTCTGCAAAATGATGAATGCAACTTTACTGTTACAAACTGCACACTTGTAACAATCCTCCAAGACCAGTTTTCATAGATCACTTTAAATCTCTGTAAATGTAAAGCTGTAGAAATTTAAGGCAGATTTACATTCAGTTCTGACGTTCTCTTCATGGTAACATATCTCTGGTCCTGTGAAAACATAAGCTTGAGTTCAGCTTCTGTGTGGATTGGTTCTGTCTCCTCTTTCTCTTGATGAATACCATCCTTGTAAAAAAATATAATGAAATGATTATTTTGCACACTTATTGTTTAATTAAGATATAAGGTATCATTTTTAAACATCTATCGGGATATAAATACGGGTTGGTCACGAGATCAAATTCCATAAAGCCCAAAGGGCTTTTTCGTACCAACCCCTATTTATATCCTGATAGATGTTTAAAAATGATACCTTATTACTTCTATTTACATTTGTGACTTATTTATATTTCATATTTGCCTGATTATAATCTTTAACGTGTGAAGTGTTTTATTTTTCAAACTCAACTGCACGTGTTTAATCCATTGATTGCACATCAACCCTTTATGACGTCACTAAGAAATTACGTTGAACGTTTATGATGTGAGGAACCAGTGTTTATATGGATATAGATACACATTGCTTACAATAGTGTTATATAAAGGAAAGCATTTGAAAATGTTAATATAAAGAAATAAATAAAAGGAGTACCGGTGACAGTGGAATGTTTTAACAATCACAATATTATGTTGGTGTCTTCAAATAAATTCTAGAAGATATTCAGGGATGCTTATAAGGAATGTGGGTGGTTACGTTCCGATTACTTGTTCGACCTGCGTGGTTTCGGCACGAATCCATGTTCGACCTGAGTGGTTTCGTTTCGAAGCAATTTTGCTTCGGAACAAAATTAATTAACACTTTCAACAGTTTTACATTTTATTTTTTCGTCTCCCTTTTTTTTTTTTTATATTGACCACATATATTTGTGGTAATTATCGTAACGTTATGTAATTTAATTGAGAAAAACCTACATTAATGTTTAGACAGTGCATATGTGATCATGGTACATTTGAAGAAGTATTTGATTAATTTTTATGGAAAACTGTTCAAATATAATTCATTACTAAATCAAATTCATCAACATCCATGCTCCGTGATAGTAGGAAAAAATGTTAGGAAACCTCACTGCATGTTGACTACACATACGGAGACAACTACCTATTGACGCAGATCTCTGAAGCCCTACAATATACAGCTACCGAATATCCATTTGTTTACCGCACAGTGTATACCCCTGTACTCAGGTATTCACATGTAGGGATATATATTAGAGTAGGTCGAAACCACTTGGGTCTTAACCATGCAGGTCAAACACGGAATCGGAACGTAACCACCTGACACCCTTATAAGTTTTCTCACATGGGATTGAAGAATATAACCATTATGAATATATTCAGAAGCAATCGGCTGTGTCCTATAATTGATCCTCTTATTCACAATTTTAAATTCTAATTTTAAAATTTTAATAAAAATCTATTTTTCTATTGGTTCATGTTACTTGGACTTTGATTAGTTCTTACACAACTTACCACTTTTTGTGTTTTGACCATGTTGAAATAAAATTCATCTGGATTGCGATTTAATGCCTTTCTTTTCAGAACTTTCAGAGTATTCTGTTTTCTTTGAAAGTCCCTGAAAATAAAATAAATAAATAATTTAAGCATGATTAAGAGCAAAAACAGCATTCAAAAAAGCTGATAAAAAAACCTTTGATTAACCAAATTTGACAACCCAGCATTGTGGTGACTACACATGAACATGATGAATTGATAAATGATAATTATATAAAGATAAAATAATTACTCTGCTCTTTCTTTATAATCTTTCTTCTTCTCCAGAAATCCAAGATGGGCTCTGCTGGAAGGCTGCATTGAAAATATTGTTTCAAACAAGTAAAAAATAAAAAATATTAAATAAAGTATACAACTTCTAATTTTGTGTAAAAACCCTAGGATTATATTGTAATATTGAATAAATTAACCATCTTATTATCCCTTCCCCCCTTGATTGTTGATTCCATTCTTCAGCGCAAAAGTCCTTTACAATACAATCATATCAGCGACTTCATCAGCTGTTCATCATAATATTAAAACAAAAAAAAAAGTGTTCTATCACTTTCATTACAGGGAATGGATTATCGTAAAAAAATAATTCTATTACCTGACTCCTCTCCTTGTATGTACGAGCACTTGATTTACTTGCTTTCCGTAATGATGCCATGTTTGAAATGTGTTTTCACAGTTTTGATGACTTCACGTGTAGTTCACGAGAAAATTCGAACTCGATACAGGAAGTCAATAAAGATTTTCAATCGTACGTAGAATAATTCCAGTTGTTTTTAGATCGATGCGGATACACGAGGCTTCAAGACTTGACGCTTAAAAAAAGAGCATCCAATCGCTACCTAATCTACCTTTAAGGTTATTATACTATGGATAGGCAAGTTAATATCGCAATCATAGGGGCTCGGTTACATGGTGTATTTTGTGTACATACATTGAAGTATACGATTTCAAACTGCGAATTTCAGCAATTTTCGATTTTTATTATATCGAACAATTATAATCAGTATAATTAGATGGATAGTCATAGAAAACCACAAAATACATCATCCTGAAACCGAACCCTTATGATCGCAATGGGACAAAATTTACACTGAACTGAACAGAGTGCACTGATATTTGTAGATTACCCTTACATGTAGATATATAAAAGTAATGTATGTATTAATAAGCGTAATCGTATTCAGTATTTGTATAAATTATATGACAAATTGCTGTGAAAAAGTGAAGATAATATAAGAACAATTATATATATTTAATACAAAATGAAATCAACATATGATGAATTATTCTAAAAAAAGTCATGTAAACGTGATTACATATATATCTGGGAATGCAAACACAGAAATCAGATGATTAAAAATCTCATCATCTGCATGATTTCTGTGTTTGCATTGATTTTCAAGATATGTCAATTTGGCGTCAATAGATGTTGAAGATTTTTAATCATCTGATTTCTGTGTCTGCATACCCAGATATGTAATCACAGGTAAAACCTGATGTTCTATCCAAAGTTTTAAATCATATAGTGTGTCGACATATGTTACCCCACTTTGGGAAACTAAACACTAAATCATGGCTTCCGCACGGTCGGGTTTCTCATAAATCATTTGAAAAATAAACACAATTCGCCATTGCAATCGATCAAATTTCTCGGAACTTGACCAAAACCTATAAAACTGACATAATTATTTATTTTAGATGTCCCTAGAATTTTGATTAAGTTCCTTATGACAAACTTCATAAGCTGATAAAGTACGGCATGCGGGGGCTCTTACTATATTAAATCAGTTCTTCTCTGTGCACACGATTGATGTCCATATAGTCGTGAAAGGAGAGACTTCGATCACTTGCAGACACATTTGTCCCACATTGGATACATTGCTTTGACAGTCAAAGGACCGTACTCTGACCGTTTTTGTTCTTTCAGTTTTGCCATATTTAAAATGACTTATACCACAGTCCATAACTTCACAAGCTACACTCTTTGCCGATGGATGTTTGTGATACCGGCCTGTATACTTACTCTGGACCAGATCACCCTTAAGGACATACGCAACATAGTTTGAACTTTATTGTCTTTTTCATTGGAGTTGAAGAGTTCCAATACTTAAAGGAACTGTGTGCTAAATTTTAATGTCTATATATGCTATTGTACACTTCTTCTAAAACAAGTTTGGATAAACAAAACATCTAGAATATATGTTTAGTAATTTTTGTATATTTTTCTTTGAATTATACAAGAATTTTCATCAATTGATATCTTTTCAAAACCCCTGGTAATGCATGCTGATTTTTTGTCTACGAACATCTGATAGCACTATAATCTTAAATTAAAAATATCTCGAAAAAGTATCAGTAGGTAAGGTATGTTGCGTATGTCCTTAAATTCTAAACTATAGACTTGGACTTCTAAGAGGGGCTTGCGATTTAATGCCATAAACTGCTACTTATACTCAGCACGATTCCATATCTTTCATTTGTTTATTCTCTAAATTACCATATACGTACTTCAGTATGTGCCACATAACCATAACCTTATAGTCCTATTATTTCGAGTGATCTGAAATGGAGTAATCACATGAACATTATTTATATGCACCAAGGTAAGCACCATCGTAGACTCCTTCGGAATTGTTCCACTTTAAGTCGGATAAACGCTTACATGTCGTTAGTATGGTCGATCTTAGAGTATAGTGCCGTGCTATTTAGGGACAATACACTAAAACCAATATAGAGAGACTCCAACGATGTACAACACCGATCTGCTACTTTTATACTCACGGCTATTATAATACAAGTCTATAGAAGTTTGGATCCGCCACCAAGATGCTTGTAGACTTAGATCTCCTAATAGTCCATGAACAGAGGAAGATAGGAACAGAAGAGATAGAGCTGAGATTCCTTTTTAACGTAATACAGGGGTTGTACTGGCAATACCAGCATCCGGCTACTTAGTTAACTAGAACACAAAATGCAGATCCGAGCAATGAAACTTAGTAGACCTATTACCAGCCCACCATTTGAACAACTCACTATGTTTCATAACTGATCGCTGCGAAACAAACGTTTAAAAACTTTACTTTTCCCCCAAGAACTTTAGTAGAGTGGAATCAGCTGGATGACAGTATAGTGGCTGTGGAAAAAAGTATAATCATGTAGATCGGCCATACACCAGGACGAAACAGGGGTACACGAGCTCTCCGATTATATGTGCCAATATTAGACAAGACACAAACACGTAACTTCCTCCAACCCCAACCCCCCAATCTCTCAAAATGTTAAAGTGTGTTAATTAGATTCTATTTCAGAAGCAAGCGTCATTTAAAATATCATTATTTTTTCCCGAACATTATACAAGCTTGTTCAAAATAAGTGTTTATTGTTTGTATGTTGTTTAACGTCCCTCTCGAGAATTTTTCACTCATACGGAGACGCCACCACTTGCCGGTGGAGAGCTGCAAATTTTGTCCTATACTCGGCACTTACGGCCATTGAGCAGTGAGGGATCTTTTTTTGTGCCAGAGTTTATAGTTAAACACAGTGTCATGTATTCATGAAGACAAGATGGCATCTAAAGGCCAATCGTATCCCGTATCATAAAAAGACTATACATATTTTTATAACGACAATTTTTGTGATGAACAATCATTACTGTATGCATAAAGAAGATGGGTGAACAAGGCGGGCGAAGTGCCTATAGTGCGACAAACATGAAGTGAAAAATAAAATCTCAATTATATAAAAATTTTCTTTGATATTTCATCTATCATTAAAGTATATTTTATGCTAAATCTCTACAATTTACAAAAATCTCACAAAGACTGAAATTATTTGCCTACGAAATAGCATATACACACTTAAGAAGACAAAAAGGATCATTTTCTCACACTTTAACAAAATTTTTCGATATGAGTGGGTCTTCGCTCCATTTTTTTGAAAGTTGATCCTAAAAGTTTGCATAAAAATATACATTTTTTGGTTTACAAAAACTTGGAGCAAAGACCCACTATACCTTAAAAGTACACTTTTATGACAAAGTTTCACAAAGCATTCGCATCTTTCCGAGAAATACTTGAAGTCCATTAAGGATGACGTTTACTCAGGTTTCAGAAGACAGAGGGGAAATTTTATAAAGTACAATATGTTAAATCAAAAATTGTTCTAAATGGATAAAATAACCAAGTTTTAACTCAATATCAATTTAAAAATTTAAAATTTTATTATTTGAAGAAAATATGTAAGAACAAAAGTCAATATATGGTAATGCAGAGGAAATTCGGACTAAATTTTTAATTTTTCATTTTTGTCACAAAATTATATTTCTTGCAATATCAATTACAAAGTAAAGGTTACATGTATTTTTAAACATCATTTTGCAAATATTATGTGTGTTAAAGCTCTTGAATTATTTCAAATAATTGAATGCCATGAAATAAAGAAAATCAAAAATATGAACAAAAACCATTCCAGACAACATATCTCAATAATTTGATCATTGACGTCATTTAATTTTAATACCATTAAAATAAGGGCAACAAAAGTAAACTGAGGCTATAAATAATTTAGAGTTCTTATCATTCAGATTTTTGTAATATAAGATTAAAAATGGTGAAAAAATAGAAATCTGACAGAGGAAATTCAGACTGTAATAATTAATAAGTTTATGGCCCAAACTCTAATCATTTATTTATATGAAGTAATGCTGTTCCATTGCTATTATATTTCATTATTTAAAGAGTTTTGTTGCTTGTAATATTTTGTGAGTAAAGAAAAAACTGGTCATAGTGTGAAAAATTGAGGTATTTTCCGAGAAATACTCAGGGGCCACTAGCATGAAAAGTAGGTCATTGACCTAGTTATTTGAAATTGAAATTTAACACAAGAATCATAAGTGTACAATGTGCAATAGGTGGTTTTTCGTTCTTATCAGTGGAATTTTTTGTCATCTGAGTAAACGTCATCCTTAAGTCAAGAGTCATATCACAAACATGATTTAAATGCCACTATTTGTCAGGAGCTGCGTGGCGTAGTGGTTAGCGTGTTAGTCTCAATTCAATATGATACTACGTATTTTATTGTTAGGGGTTCGAATCCCACGAATACCATTTTATTTTTTTCATAAAAGAATAATTTTTTCCGAGATCTTTTTTTTTCTCAGAAAAGTTTTGTTGATCATAATTTAATAAATTTCAATAATGAGAACTTTATTTTAAAGACTTAATTCATAAATTGAATATGATTTTATTAATATCGGAAGCTATAGGCATTCTGCACGCCTTGTTCACCCATCTTCTTTTTAATTTGAATGGAATTTAGATTAACAGGTCATTTTTAGCGGTCATTATAATGACCGGGTCATTATACCCACGTGCAATGATTCCTAGGTCATTATTGCTTTAATCGGTACTTTTGGGAGTCATTATTGAGTTTAAAAGCCTTCTAACAAACCAATCAAATTTGAGTATTCTTAATAGAGGTATACTTATCTAATTTAATCGATTTCTTTTTTAAAAACGGATCTACAAGCATCCTTGGTTGAAGCGGATTAATTCAAGTTTGTTCAAATGAAGAGCCACGCCTCTTTCTAAGAAAGATACTAATTTTGTAACATCTTTTTAAAATCTTCTCAAGAACCACTGGACCAGAAAAATGAAAAATTAAACATATATGAAAGCTT